TGAACTGCATGAAAGGGTTGCGGCATGAGGAAGGTTGAGAACCGCTGACTTAGACCAATGACTCGAGATGATGTTTAATGCCCCCCTTACTCAGCGCTGTACACCCAGTGCTGGCCCTCCACACCTCACCCCTCAGTTCTTCGCAACACTCCCAAATATCAGTCCTCGCGCATGGGGTACTACCGAAGACCTGGTCCTGTCAGCGCATCAACGCTGCTGCCCGACCTCTGGGTGATCCGGCGTCCCTGCCCTCCTGTCTCTCTTCCCCTCTGCTGCGTCTTCCTTCCGTAGGGATGTATGATGCACCAGCGAGCTTCCAGAACCAAAAGCCCTGCTGGCATGGCGGTGAAGCATTGGACTGTGAACCACAAGGTTGGCAGTTTGAAGCCACCAGCCGCTCTGCCCTGCTCCCACAAAGAGCTACAGTCTCAGAAGCCCTCAGGGGTCATCGCCGTGAGTCAGAACTGATTCGCTGGCAGTGAGGTTGATTTGACTCATGGAGTTGCCAGGAATTGGGAGCCCTGGCAGCACTGCGCCCCAGAAACCCACAGGAGCCAGCGCGCCCCTGCCCTGTAGGGTCGCTAGGATTGGCATCGACTGGATGGCGTGCCTTTCCATTTTGCCTTGTTTCTTTTTGTTGGCGTTGCCGGGAGGGAGCTCCGGAGGCTGCGCAGTTCCAGTGCTCCACGGCTGACCACAAGGTGGGCAGCCCGACCCATCAGCCATCCTCACCTTAGAGACCCAAAGGGGTAGTTCTGCTGCGTCCAATAGGGTTGCTCGGGCCAGAATCAACTCCAGGGCCGTGCTTAGTTTGGGGCTCATTGCCAGGTGGTTCCAGGCTGGTCCTAGTGGTGACTTCCAAAGACCCATGGAAACCCAGGGAGCACGGCTGCTTCTTGGTTACAGGGCCAGGCACCTGCCAGGAGTTCTGGGCCCGATGTCGGGCCCTACAGCCCCCTCCGCCTTCCTCCAGTCCAGCTCACCGCCTCTGTCTCTGTCTTTCCACCCAGCCAGCTTCCCCCACACAGAGCCGCCCTGCCGTCGAGCGGGGTGCCTTGGCCACTGGCCCAGTGCTGCGTTGGGCTGTGGGCGCTGGGGTGGGCGCAGGGCTCTGGGGCCTGTGCTGGTTGTCACACGCTTGTTCCTGGAGTCAGGATGCCAGGCTCAGACCGGCCCAGGACCTTGACGCCCCTGTGTCTACCTTCTTCCCCACAGGCACAGGGCTGGGAGGGGTGGTTCTCAGGAGTCTGTGAGCACAAAGTGGTCTTGTTTACTCCCCCACGGGCCAGCCCCAGCCCCCCTTTCCTCCCCCTTGCGGGCACCCAGCAGGCTGGGCTTCTGGGGCTTAGCAGGTGGGCCCGTAGCTCCCCACCATGTGTGGCGGCGCCCTGACCACGGGCTTGGATTGGCAGGAGCGTCTGCTCTCCCTCTGGTGACATCTTTCCGGGGACTGCCAACACCTCAGGGCCAGCTGGCGGCCCTGGGGATCTGTCCTGAGCCTGGGGTGTCCTGGGCCATTGGCTTTTTTCAGAAGTGGGGGGTGCAGAGGTGGCAGTGCAAGAGCAGGCATCTCCTTGGAACCATGCCAATCCCAGGGATGGGCCTCAGGTCCTCTTGCTGGCCCTGTGTGTGTGTCTGTACATGGGCAGGGGGGTTTGCTCCCAGGGAAGCCTGCACAGCCCCACCTGAGCTCTTTGTCTGGGGCATTGGGAGAGGAGGCAGGGGCAGTGATGGGGTGGACAGCAGCGGGAGTCTTGGGCCCTCCCCTTCAGAGATCGTTGCTGCCCCACCGCCGAAGGCAGCGGAGATCCAGCATGGGTGGGGTGTGGAGGTGTTCAGCAGGGTCCCTGTCCCCCCACCCCAATCTCTGTAGCTGAAGAAGATCGGGGGCGGGGGCTTCGGTGAGATCTACGAGGCAATGGACCTGTTGACCAGAGAGAACGTGGCCCTCAAGGTGGAATCCGCCCAGCAGCCCAAGCAAGTCCTAAAGATGGAGGTGGCTGTGCTCAAAAAGTTACAAGGTGCGGGTGGGAGCCTCAGGTGGGGTGAAGGATGGAGGGTGGTGGAGGAGGCAGTGTGGTGGAGGATGGAGGGTGGAGAGTGATAGAGGATGGAGGGTGGTGGAGGATGGAGTATGCTGGAGCATGGAGGATGGAGGGTGGTGGAGGATGGAGG